TCTGCTCCTCTGGAAATCGATCATAACACGATGCAACGTCGCTGAGGCAGGTCCACTTGTGCTTGTAATTGGAACAAATCTCAAAATTTGACCACCTGAATTGGGCTGGAAAGTGAGTAGAATCTTTAGAGTTAGAGTTCAAGCTATCTCGATTGAGTAACTAGGGTCTTCTGCCAACAGGTTCCCTTGTCATGTTTCTACCTTGGTTTGCTTGTGGGATATTTTAGTTTTTTGGTATCTGTACTTGGTGCCATTCGTGGGATAGGTGCAGGTTTTTACTATCCTCATGATTGAAATAGGGCTTTATCTACCTACAATTGCATCTTACTTGATTTATATTCGGAAGGCCTCTGCATCTCTCTAACCGTAGATATTGGTTAGTTCACACTTTCCTCTAGTTCATACTTGAGCACACACTTGTGTTTCAAGTGTAGTTTGCACGTTTAGTTTACCCGCTTATCTCTGCTCCATGTTTTAAGTTTTGATGCGTTCCATTTGGGTGTCTTTCACAGTCGTTGTCATTTTATGGAATTTGATTTTACCCACTCACAATCAAGCCTTGCTCCGCACGGATGCAAAAGTTATGTTGATGCTCTCTCAGGTTGCTGAGCGAGGACGTATGGTTGATTTCAGCCAAGAAGAGCCTTAGCAATATAGAAGGAGAGAGTCTGGGATCAGTGGAGTGCTTTCTCACTGGAATGTACCTGGCCCGAACAGTACGTTGGATTCTAGGTTTGTCATATCTCATTACTGGAAGATCTTTAGACAGCCTTTAGGCTTACAGCTTATCATCTAAATCTTGGTATAAATGCGTGTTTTTGTGTTTTTATTTCCAAAGCTTGTGGTTGGTAGGGGGCCGCGCGAGATGAGGGAAGCTACCGGTGAAAGGTTAAAACAGGTCCCAGTTGCCTTTAGTGTGCCTATTAGCACACGTCTATTTCGTCAGTGAGGACGAGAGGAACTACTCCCATACATTTTCTTAGTTCTGTCTGACTGTATTTGCACAGTTGTTAACGATGAGGAGTGTAGGGGCTGCTCCAGTATGGTTCAGGGTGAATCCCTTGGAGATATCATCAGCGGCGCTACCACGAGCAGTGAGATTGTAATGGTGGCGGTGGGAACGCTACTGGATAGGTGGTAGGAGAAAAACGGTGAAGAGCAAACTTGAGTTGTACCCATTGTGATTGCTCTATTCAGAAAGATCCAAGGGTGCGTGGTGGGAAACCCATCACGGCAACTAAGGCTCTTTCATGTGCCAAAGAAGAGAAAAGTAGTTGTGCCCTCTGTTTGTGTATATCCACTGACAAAGTCAGGTTCATTCCATAAATTTGAGTGTCCTGACTCTATGCCTGGCTAAGTAAAGCACATTCCATAAGTTTGGGTGACCTGACCTTATGCCTTATGTAAGCAGGGTATAAAGGGTTAAGTTATCAAAGGATTATGAAGTATTGTTTGCCCAGAATGAACTTGGGATGGTGAAAGTACTTACCTCTGTGGTTTGGCCTGCATGTGGCTGAGTAAGATCACTACATCCCTCCTAGACCCGTTAGATATTGTCGTTCCACCGAAAATATGTGAAAACCCTCGGTGTTGACGTGAAGCAGATTAAAAACCAATATAAAACAATCCTCTACAATGTAAGATTCTCATCCAATCCAGGGACCCGACTAAAAATGTGAGGCTAACTAGAGGGATCTAGCCTAGAACGGTGATTATAAGCATGTAAATGAGTGTTTCCAACTTATCAATAACCTATCAAGAAATCTAATATACCTCAGTGATCCAGGCATAAAGTGTAATACAAGATATCCCGATACGGCCCACCCTGGATTAATCTCCAGATGAATCCTCCTTGGAAAGAGGGCTGAGCAAAGGTAAGAGATGTGGCACACCAGTATGGCTAGATGCATAGTAAAGCACGTTGTCTCCTTGGTATTGTCAACAACACTCCCACCGCCATCACGAGCTCTCCCACTGCTCCCGCTGACGCAAGAGGCACGTATTTTGCGTGTTCACACAAAAGGGCACGTAAATATCAGCGGCCTGGGCAGCCGCGGGCTTACATATTTTGTGGGGACCGCGGGCGGTCCCCGCAAAATCGTATTTCTTTTTCCTCTACTGCTTTCTGGAAGCAAAAAAAAAAAAAAAAAAAAAGTTCATTATGCTGTCTGACTGTAGACAACGTATTTTCGCATCTTAAGGCCAGGTCGTGACCCTGTCTTTTCTGCTTTGGGCAAACAAACGGGTGAGCAGTGTGACCCGTAGGTGCCATAAACGCAAATTCACATACGTAAAATTTGCGGAAGTTCGCAGAGTTCAGGCTGCGGTATAGTGTGCTTCCGCGTCTGTGTCAAGGTGTCGCATTTTTTGCGGTGGGCGACCAGGACGCAAAGTGGGTTCTTAGGGGGCAAAAAAATTTGGGGGACCGGTCCTTGACAAAACTGCGGACTACCTACAGCTAGCTCTGCTAGAACCGGGACTTTTGGAAAAAGGAAGGACCGGTCCTCGGGTGGAAGTAGACCCCAAAAAGAAGTGGGGGGCGTTGGACCGGACCCCGGGTAGAAGCGGATCCCAAAAAGAAGTGAGGGCATGTGAACTGCAAAAGGGCCCTCAGGCCCAGGCATTGAGGCCCGTCTTCTCAAAACGGTGAGGTCAGGCACAACGAAATAGGCGTTTTGCAAGAGGCAACTTTGGCGATTTTTTGTGCTCGAACGTACATGCACAAAAATCTGAAATTTTGAGAATCCATAGATGAGGTCGTGTTCTTTCCAAAAATAATAATAGAACATTTAAAAAAAATCATTTACACTGCGAAATAATCGTCGCACCGATTCGGCACATTTTTCATTTTTGCCACTCAGCCATGCCTGGGCCAATAAATAAA